GTGCCTAAACTAGGACACCTTATATTTTAGATCACCAGGCCTCGACATACAGAAGATCTGTGAAGGGTGCACGAAACAATCGACGAGTACCTTATGCCGACTGGCAAATCCACGACTTGATGTCAAACATATCCCGTGCACAGTTCAGTATGGCGGCCACTTGTGGCGTGAATCGTGATCAGCGTTTCTTAGTTCTGTGCCGCGATAATATAGCGTATGTCATCGATATGATAAGAAGAAGAAGACAAGAAATTGTCGCGTTGAAATTCGCAATCAATACAAAGAAGTGTCTGCGATTGCATATTAAAACGGTCATAATATCGCACCTTTGGAGTGACAGTGACACTTACATTTGTCCAATTTACAGAAAATGAGACAAAAGTTTTGTCTTTACGGCTACTGAGCACGTTTGAAGAGCTCTTAAATGTATCTGTTTCAGTATAAATTGCGCCCTCTATGGAAGTCCTTTGTTGTTCCGTGTAAACTGCATTTTTAAAACGGTTTGGGATTACAATCTTTTGCAGTGAAGCCTATGTTTCGCCGGAGGTGTGATGTAGGTATAGTCCCTTTAGAATTAATGGACGTGTTTCCAATTCCGACGAAATAAAGTGATGTACACAGTTTAATTCAGTGTTATACTTTCTATTGTGTGTGATGCAAGTAATTTTCGTCAAAATTGTATATAAACTACGCCCGTAAGTGTTGTAAGTGACGACATAAATGCCCGCAATTTTAAACATTTTATACATTCAATTCGTAATATGAAATGATGGAATTAAAAATTGAGAAATCATTCAAAAATAACCGTCCGTAACCGTCGTTTCAAAATTTCTAGACTGTGAATTACGTTCCTGGCTTAAGCAATGCCTTTGTGTTCAACGTCGTTACCGAGACCTACTGGAATTGGACCACATGTTATATTCAGAACTTGGAGGATGCTTGTCGTGTGTGAATTATCAATTGACGATTGAACTTTTTACGGAGATCGAGTAGGTTTCAAATGTTTTCAAGGTCAGTGGTACCAATGCAAACGCTGGGTGCAATGTTTTATTGAATAGAACTTACTCACAATGTAAGTTAACAGCGAACGCCAAAACCAATGTTTGTTTGCTAGTCATAAATATGTAGATGGTATGTGAAAAGTCATTTAAAAAATTTAGAACATCTGACAGTTATAGGACCAATTAAATGAAATTGATTTTTAAATATTTTCTTTACTTTCAGTTTTATTGTTGCCAAAACAGCGCATTTGACACTTTTTTAAGTTTAAGTAGCTGTAGAGCTCCTTGTGAAAGAGTTCGTCCAGGGAAGTAGTGCCACCTTACCTGTTTCTGCTGCCAAGCAATATCAGCATTACTGTGTTCCGGTTTTGAAGGGTAACGGTGCTGGTGAAATTACAGGCACATGTGACTTGTTTCAGGGCAGGGTGACGCGCGCAGTGGCAGTCACCCTAAGATCTTTGCGATTTAAAGCGCTGAGTGGCACTGCAACTGTTCTGGATAGGGGTGTCGCTTACCACCAGGCGCACGACTTGTTCGTCCCGTCATTTGTATTGTAAGGGGTCGTAGCCGTGGATTAGCGTAGCAAGAAGCACATTTCAATGAGAAACGAGGAAAATAAACATAAATAAAACATTTACTACGTGTATTCAGATCGAAGCTTAGAACAACTAAGATATTCTTTTTTTATAATATAATTATAAATACAAACCTACATTATTGTCTACAGTATTGCAAAAACAAAAAAAAAATATATTAAAAAAACTTTACATGCCAATATCTCGAAAGTTAGTTATAACAAGGAGGGTAGAATTAATTGAGCAAACGCGTAATTGGCTGCCATTCATCATGAATGGACGCAATGTATGGAAAAAAGGCATTTACGCAGTTCTATTCAGTTTCACGTTCTATGTGGTGATGTAATTTCTACATCGTCAAAAAGCAACGCCCATTAGCGTTGTAAGAGTTGATATAACTCATAAAAATAAAAAAGTGTCATCAACAAATAATGTGCGAGACAATCACAATACGTAGTTATTAGCTCGTCTTAAAGTAGATAATTCCCTGTACCAAACTAACAATGCATATCCGGACACATGTCTTTAATAGCTCTCATATTTAACGAGAATAGTCCAAACCTGTAGTGCAGTATGTAGCGGAGATATGGTATACATCATACTATATCTTGATGGAAATTTCGTATGGTCTAGATTACAATTTGGCAGAATTAGGTGTCTGTAACATTTTTTCGAAAACTGTAGATAGTATTTAAGGACCCAGTGAACAAGAAATTACTTTTTTTATGTAAAGAAGGAGGCAAATGAGCAGACGAGCCACTTGATGGGAGGTTGGACGTCGCCCATGGACATTTGCACCATAAGTTGAGCTGTTTATGCATTGTCAGCTTTTGAGAGCCCTGTAGACACGCTTTTTGAAGAACCCCATGTCATAGCGCAAAGGAAAACTTCAGGAGGAAGATCATACCACATCTTGCAGGTTCGAGGAAGGAATGAATGTGATGCTCGTGTGGTCTCACATTGTCAAGCATCTATGGTGTGGAGATGGGCTCTACTCCTTTGGCGGGATGTGCGATGGTGGAAACGAGACGGTGGCACCAGTTCGAAAAGTTCCTCTGAGTACTTTCCATTATAAAGTCGGTAGAACACACACAGAGAGCCAACGTCTCTCCGTAGACTAAAGGACTCCATATCCATATACTTTTTATATTAAAAAATAATTGTCATTCAATAAAGACTTATAAAAAGAAACAGTAACTGCAATGTCACTTTATTTCCTTAAACGATCGGAACCAATGTAAAACAAGTTCGTATTCTAAATTGGCATACCGGGAATCCAAACTGGGACCTAACCAGGGGGCCGCCAAAGTAAAAAAAAGAACACCGTTTTCTATATTTGCGAACGTCCTTTCTCGTTGCTGTGAATCACCTTGAAGAACGTTCCCGATATTTGCTTTTATATTGTTTTTTCGCTTGATTCTTTGAGAGAGAGGTTTAAAGAAACAGTACATTTATCAAAATCTAATTTACGTTAATAATAATAACAGTATTTTTTTAATGGAAAATAGCGATAAACATAACGTTACTACGAGGATTACAAATAAACCGGCTGTTCTTGAGAATAATTGTCTTCACGAAGTAATACATTTAAGGGGCAACGTATACGCTTTTATAAGATTCCGAGGTTTAAAACTAAAGTGAAATAAAATTTTTATAGCAAATGTTACAACGTTTCTGCGTACTTGAATGACAAAAATCCATGGCAATGACTTAGCTCTCGCATGTCTCGATCGATTTGAAATAAATATTGTAAATGATAAACAAGTGCAAATGTTCATATACAAAGAGCAACCCCTAGAGTTTCTTACATATTCTTCTCAGGGGAATCTTTCCTTACGACTGAGTAGTAGAGTTTAATCAATGCGACGGCTTCAAGTGCTATTTTGAGCGTCTATGAAATATAGATTTACTTTGAGTTTGAACGCTGCGATAAGGCTCTTTAACATTCATATATCTTTTTTTAGGATTCGGAAAAAACACACCTCTGCATCAATACTCTGTTAAAATTGACACTTGGATCAATATTCTGTTAAAATTGACACACGTTGAAAGAAAGGTCACAGGCAAGGTCGTCAAGTAATCATGAACACGTGAACGAGAGGTGAATTACGTTTTTGGTATGAATCATGCTATCGATTGACCGCAACGCTTAGGTTCTTCTTTTATTTCTTTGTCTGCTTTTGAAACAACGAAAGTGATCGATTTAACCACCAACATAGTTGATGATATTGGAACTGAGTCTATGGTTAAACTAATGGATCATTCGTGTTCAAGTCTGTTTCGTTTCATAGTCTACGCCATTTCAATAAACAAAGACAATTCTAGTACGTAGTATTTAAGTGCGCATTTCATAACGTTACAAAGCAGTGACATCATAAAGCCCTCGTAGAAATGCGCGTGCGCAACGACAGACACACTTTCACATTCTTCGCGGCGTGACGGTCAATCCGCTCTTACTGTCGAATAGGATAAATGACCTTAGATGGCTCCTGACATGAATGACTACCATTCGCTCTCGTTGGCATTAAATATTGAAGCTAGTTACGTTAATGGAAATTTCATAAATCGAGCTAATGGATAATAGGTGTTCGTTCACTTCAACGCTACGTTGCCTTGAATAGGTATTACATATAAAAAATTGTATCCAGATAGCTAAAGCACGTTTCGAACTTGATAAGATAGTGAATGTGATAGAGCTCAAGGATATAATTTTCGATTAGACGGAATTGCTTTGATAATTCGTAAACAGTGCATGTAGTTTTAAGTTCTAGGTACAAGGTTTACGATACTATAAAAGTTTAAAATAGGATCCTAACCCACAACCGGAGTGACGAAACACTGCGTGCCTGGATCGCTCGGGTAGTTCTGATTCATTGGCATTGCGCAAACGCCTGGCGTTAAGTATGCCGCCACTAAATCGGGAAGACCTTCACCCGCATTGTAAGATCCCGAGGGACGTTACACACGAAAATTACGACGTACCAACAACGTAACCAAGATGTGTGTGCCTCGGGAGCATTCAACTCGGAAGGGTAATACATCTAATAGTGATGTAATAGGTAATACGGTTGTTGGGTTTGTAAATTGGCGCACACAATTGACTTGGCACAGGTTGATAATGGATTTAGAAACGCGTGTCGCCGCTTGTAGCTAGTCACTAAGATCGTGTTACTATGCAGTCATTTAAAGTATTGTTTACATATTCATTCATAGACGTGAAATTTCTAACAGTTACGCAACGTAAACAGTTGTATATACGAGTATATTTATAGGTACACTAAACTAGAATGCTGCTGATGCAATACGACTGTCAAACAGGTGATATGATAATAATGGTTTTGCTTTGGTTCCGAGCGATATAACTACAAATAGTACTGGTTTGAAGAGTAGAAATCTTATTGGAAAGGTACAGGATGAAACATACCTGCACTCTGAGACTTCTGAGGGCAGGAAATTGCGCTATCCGATCCACCTCGTCCCACGTGGCGAGACCGGTGTTGTTTAGGTTCAGGAACCGTAGATGACTGCAAACGTTAAACATTACTTAAGTATGACCACTTAATTCAACACTAAATAAGTAGCTACTGTTAATACGTTATGCAATCACAATACAATGGCGCGAATTCGTAGGTTCAGTGGGTCAATGGCAGTAGACACATAAACTTGATTGAGAATTGAACATTACGCTGATAAGCGGATCGAAGGTTAAACGGTTTTTGGTTTGTAGTTAGTTTACTATCAGATATACATTATGAGGTAGGTCACAGATATAAACATATAAACGGAAACAGTCATATCCCCACACTAGGGTAACCCTGTATCGCGGGTGCCATGGACACTCACATAGACAACCACAAATTCATCCAAACTCACGCGAGAAATAAACGTAGGCCAAATACAAATATTTCTCAGCCACGGAGGCAGGCAAACGTATAGATAGTATAACTTACGGAAAGGCATCATGGCTCTTCTTATTTCCATTGTTATCTTCACATTTCTCGCATGGATCGGGGTCCAATGTTGTTATAGAACAATCGTTCACCATCAGTGTTTCTAAGTTAGGGAATGCGTAACCAAATTTGCATATCTCCCGCCAACTGCTCACTGGGTTTCCGGAGAAATGTAACTTCTTAAGTTGCTCGTGGACTGGTCCGACGTCTTCGACTTTTAGACGCGCGCACGCTTCACACAGGTCTTTTTCATCCACTTCCTGCCCTGTCAGGTTTACGTAGGAATACTCATTAAGGCTCATATGCAGCTCTTCAAGAGCTGGTATAGCTTTAAGTAGCGCAAAAACGCTTGGCCACCCAACGTAAGTAGAATTCAAAACCAAATTGGTTAGGCTGTCCCAACGAGGATTAAGGGCCTGGGCTGCTTGAATTTGCGCCGACAATCGATTGAAGCTCAAGTTAAGAAACCTTACACGCGGCGTTTGCTCCAGTATTGCAAATACCTATGAAAAACAAGCCTATGTTAAAGTACGTTGGTGTAACATCGCGGAAACAACCGCGGAGTCTACCAATAAATTGGCACCGGTGTCATAACCATGGGAATACTGTTTAGTTGCGAAAAGTAATCTGTTTTACTATAGGCTAGACTTGATAGCTCTTGGGATCCGTCTCACGTTATTGATTGTATTAAATTACCTATATATATATATATATATATATATATATAGCGTTGTTTAAAATTACATACCTAGGCATTGACTTACAAATAAATGGACGACGGGTCTAATACAAAAACCA